ATAGAAGGATTCTTCCTTTGGGCTGAGTTATATTTTTAACAAGCATTTCCCAAGCAATTGTTGTTAGATATTGCCTTCCTCCCTTGTTTTCTGGTCTGGACATGTCTGGACACCTTCATGCTGCGAGGGTGCATGAGATCCCACGCGATTTTGCTCTTCTCCTTAAAGGTCCTCCCTTCTGCCAACAGTATGAAGTGCACAGCATACTATGGAAGAAAGGGCAGGAGCAGCCAAGCACATTGCCACCAGCCAGAAAGTGCATGAGTTAAATCCCCACTGGGTAGCCGGCGGTGTGGTTGAACTTCCCAGGTGGAGTCATTAATGAGGAAGAAAAATGCTAAGATTGTGGGGTGTAGGAAGTTGCTTTGAAGAACCGAAACAAATTGGGGGTGGGTTGAAGGAGATTCTCAAGTAAATTATCCTAAATCAGATTTGCCTGCAAAACGTTAGTATCTTATTCTGCTAATTAGAATGTAATTAGCAGATGATTTTACTACAATACCAGTTGGAATAGTATTGGGAAGGACGTAAAAAGTTTTAGGGAGGGAAAATACAAAACTGTGGGGAAAATGTTTTTGTGGAACAGTTAATGCAGCTGTTACAGTGAAGACAACTGTGTTCAAAGTACACTTCCAAATTTTGATTTTAAAACTTATTTTAAAAATCAACCAGTCTTACCATTTATGAAGGATGCCTCTCAACATAAGTGGTTTCCTGAGAGATTAAGGGGCAGGGACAAGGAAGCTGCTGCTTTCTGTTGTACAAAATATACCTCAAACACTTACCTGACACAAAAAGAGTTACTGTACTAGCAATCCAGTGTTTATGGTGCAGTCCTTCCACTTTCAGTTTGTGAGCAGAAAATATGCATATTACTATCCAAATTAACAAAACAAGTACGCATAAGATTTTCTTTATGCTTATATTAGGCATAATGTGAATTATTTTGCTTGCACAAGTATTGTAAATGCAAACATTTGCACACTTGATGTCTGACATAAAAGGCCACATCCGAAACAAAAACAGATCTAGGGTTGGATCTGTATGATTTAATTTTAGAACCTGGGTAAAATTTGTGAATCAGTACTGCGAGCATAACTTTAAGTCATTTTTTTCACACAGTTGGAGATTAAGACTGGCATTGACGTAAGCGAAAGATATCCCCAATTTACCATACCCAATTCATGTGCTTGAACTAGTTTGCCATCCGCTGTAGCAAGAATGCAAACAAAAAAATAAAAAATAAAAAAATAAAAATCCTTAATTGCCAAATTTGCCCTAGGGGCAATCAGAAACCGAGTCCTAACCCAGCACTTTAGTAATGCTTCCCTAGCAATGAAACCTTAAAGGCATAGTGGAGTAGGGAGAAAGATTTGGAAGACAATCCATTACCGAAGTGTGTGTACAAAAAAGTGCTTGCCATTTCTATTCAATCAGCACCAAACTGATTTTATCCTTTGTATTAAAGAGATCCTCTCATTTCTGTGGAGCTAAAGAAACTCCCAATGATCAGGAAGGGTTCTAGATTTTAACAGAATAGCCTATTAATTATGAAAAAAGATAGTATTTCCATCCGACCCCACACCCAAAAACGTTCAGCTGTCTTTTTCAGCGGCAGGAAAAATTAATTTCTTTGTTCTTTCAATTTGCGCACTGTAATGCAAAGTTTTTGGAGAAAAACAGGTGAGATTCAGCAATGGGGCAGGTTTTTAGAATTAGCTTTATTTTTAAAGGAACAATCTCCCTATCATGCAAAGCTGCACAGAGTGGTTAAATGATGCAATGATGGCTTGGCATCAATGATGCCAGCAACTTGCAACACAGGAGAGTTTGGCCACATCAAATTGCCACAGAAATTAGAGCAGAATAAATTATATTTGGCCATCTATATTGGCATCCAAAAAGTGAAAAGCCAACTGCTTCTCACTCCAAACAGTCTTCGCTTAAAAAAAAAGATCAGTATAAAAGTAGTCATCTCAGAAATATAATTTGAAAATAAACATGTTTGTGAAGCCTATTCTTATATTAAAACCCATCCACAAAGCTCCATGGGCATAATTTTATCTATAGACTATCACTCCAAAAGGCTCCTAACTGATTGTTCTTCTAATATAAACGGCAACTTAAACTGCAACTGATTTTCCACACAGGCAGAGTAATCTAACAATAAAATTGTGTCTGCTTGGATTCTGGAGCATTCCAGTGATCCCCTCTGTCGTACTGGTTGTAGCCTAACAGGGAGAAAAGGAAGGCAGAAGATTTTGGAGATTTTTAAAAAAACTCTTTCCAACTCAACAGAATGTTGGAAAGTAATTGTATAAAAGGGGGTTGGGACTCTGTCCATCTATCTGTCCATCAGCAGGATTCCACATTCTACTCTGAATGTAGAAAAGAATGGGACCAAATTTGGTGTGGTGGGAGAAACCTGTAAAATAAAGACTGTATTCTAAAATGGGCTGGATCTAGCCAGGAGCTATGTAGAAAAATATTTTTAAAAATTCTTCAGTGCATCCCTATGAGAGAAATAGTAGGGTAGTAACCTGGAATGCTGCTGGCTGTTCTATTCTAAGCTTCCTACTCCCCGAATGTATGTCCAGGGTACAGAATATACAGCCTGCCCCATGCTTCCCAGTATACACATACATAGAAACGCAAAACACCTAGAAACACAACAGGAAAGTAGAGCAGAACACCCAGAAGAAAAGACTGATGCCTCCTATGGCCACTGTTAGATGGAAAAAATTCAAGAAGCCATGTTAGCAAGCTTTTCCTACATTGTTATAGAAAACATTTCCTTGCATGGTGTGCAACCAAGGGATTAATTTAGGTATTCTCTGTCCAGTTCTGTGCACATCCCTATTTCGTAAGGATTTCTTCTCATGAAAATTCCCAGCCATAGATGCTGATAAGGAGGAAGTTGCGGGGAGGAACTAATATAAGTTTCCTACTTCAACTGAAGACTTCCATCCTCAGAGGGTACAAACTGAGCAATTTCTCAGAAGGAAGAAACTAGAAAGCTATGCCAGGAGATCATCAGATTGTAGTTTAAATCAAGTACTGTATTTGGTTAATGCCCATGACCTTAATATGAATGCTCATGGCTATCCATGATATGGAGGGAAAAAAAGTCTTTAACATTTGTTTTGGATCAAAATGGAGATGGAAGTTTTTAATTAGAAAAAAGAGCTAAATTGTAGTGTGTGTGTGTGTGTGTGTGTGAGAGAGATACAATCCCATGATTGTATTATAATGTAACAGCACTCTTTTCACCAATGCAATATTTTGTTAATTTTTTTTTTTTTTTACTAAATGATAGGTTTAGCTTAGAAGTGCTTAATAGGAAGACAGACACTGTTAAAATGGTGGTGATTGGAAGTACCTCTTTAGCTGTAAAAGTATTTGGATTCTAATTGAAGAATGATTTTTTTAAATTAATAGGCTTATAAAATTGTGCATAATGTAAAAGCTGCAGTTACAGGGACATCTGCAGGGGGGCTAAAAAAAGTCAAGATGGTGACCATGATCAAAGCCTGTTTTAAGATGCTTTCATATACTATGCATATAAAACGGGGCAGGGATTTAATCATACAGACCTAACCATCATTTTGACTTCCACCCTCCCCTGGCAGACACCCCTGCTGTAGTAGATATTGTGCCACAATGGGATCACCTGCCCAGTCCATTACAACCCACAATAAAACTTACATATTATTCCCACCCTTCTCTAAAAAGCCAGAGTTCCTGTGATAAAAGAACATGACAGAAGCAGCACTGAAATCACAAGAGAATTACAAATGGATGACAACGTTGTGCAAGTTCATTGTAAAAAGTATATGAAGAAGACAAGGCTCTTAAGTTAGAGACCTAGTGGGAAGCAGCCTGTCTATCTTGCATTTTGATTTTGCTGATCTTAGAGAACAAACTATGCATGTCTTTTTGAAGAAAAAGCTTTGCCAAGACAAATGGGGCTTACTCCTAAATACAGAATTACAGATTTAGAATGTTTTCATAGATAATGTGAAAATCCCTCTAAAATGTCACAGTCATTGTGTAATGTTAACAGCATTTCTCTATCTTCTCATTCTTTTTTTCTCCCAAGACAAGGAAATGGTCATACTTCCTGGAGAGACCAGATGCTTAGTTTTTAGTTGAAAGTACAAACTCAATTTTAGAAAAAAAATCTTTTCATGGATAATCTAAGCAAAACACTAGCACCAAAAGTATACAAATCTATATTTCAGTTGGGACTTCGGGAAAATTTAAAATCTGAACTATGTTATTCCATGTTATAATAATTCACGAGTGCCGCAAACAGCCATAAGAAAAGCTAAACTACTTTTAGAGCCACCTGTGACAAGAACCATAATTAAGGATACGGTCTAAGATCTCAGATGCTTTGGGAGCTGAGTGAGGTAGCTGTCTGGGATGCAAGCCAACCATTCTACCCATGATCCTGCCAAGAAAATCCCAAATGGAAACTGAAGTGTGGTTGACATTTTGCATACTAAGCTGGAATAACCATGTTACCTACTAAACTGGAGCCAAACATGGGATGGTTATATCCAAACCCCTAAATCTCTAAGAGCTTAAACTAAAGAATGAGGTTCTACTATAACCATTTGCATATTTTTGTGATTCTGTGTATAGCAAAAACACGAAACCCATCATTCAAGGCGGAGAGAGGCAAGGACTACATCCCTCCATTTATAACCGTTTCAAGATGCCACTTAGCCCACCTACCTCAGCAACCATTCTTTTAAAAGCATTCTTCCCATACTTCCCAATCAAAAATATAACATGAAGACCCACCCCAAAGCTGCTAAGGCGTGGCCTTCCCAAATTGTCCCAACAACATCGTCCTTTCCTTCTACAGAATAAATAACATCGCATTTAAGGACAGAATAATGTTCATGCCAGAGGATGTGTTGATCCTATAGCCTTGAGTAGGAAAGACCCAGGAGTGACCATGATAGAGAGATAGGAAGGGCTGGACATCCTTGATGGGGAAAAAAGGCTCAATTAGATTGGGAAGTAGCACTTGAAGAGCTTCCCTCAGGTTCCTGTTTGATTTTGGCAGGAAGCTCTGTCCCAGTTTTAGCCTCTCCTTCTGCTTCTTCCTTGGCACCATCGTGTGTCTTCATGTGCTTGCTTAGATGGTCACTTCTCATGAAGACTCGGTTGCAAACAGGGCAGGTGAATTTTTTGGTTCCTGTGTGGGTCTGAAGGTGTCTCTGCAATTCATCAGAACGGGTGAAGCGCTTTCCACAGAACAACCAATTGCAGACAAAGGGACGGTCACCACTGTGCCACCTCAAGTGGGCCTTCAGATGGGATGTCTTGGCATATGCCTTGCCACAGCCAGGAATATGACAGTTGTGGAGATGCTTCTTCTTGGAATTGTCAGGGCATTGGCCCACCCTTTCGGCTTCTTGACAGTTAGGACACCGACAAGCAGCTTGGCCAGAGCTCCGGGTCACTGAACGCCTTGAGCTCTTTGGCCTACCACTACCATCCCCAGCTTGCTCCATAGGGTGAGGCTCTTGAGTAGAATCCAGGGATTTGATAACTTCCTGGCTCATGAGATGTGGTGCTGAAGGCAGCAGATGGTGAGGTGGGCCACAGAGTTGATGTTCTGCAGAACCATAGCCACCCAATGCTGGCTGAAGCCCACTTGTGTGGCCTGGTGGTTGGAGACCACTCTGAAGATCCATCCAGCTAGATCCAGCATGGAGATCCCACCATGGGTTGACATTACTGTCATCAGTGGTATTGCCTGAATGTGTAGGCCTAAACCAAGGTTCATAATGCTGAGACATATCTGGTGTTGCTTGTAAAAGCTTAGAGTATGACCCGGGTGGCAGCTGGCTTTCACCGTCCAGGTCTACCCTTGAAGACCCATGTAGTTCATAACCACTGTTACCCGAGTACTCCGTGTCAGGTGCAGCCAAAGGCAAGTGCTGGAGTTCTGTGGGCTGTAGGGGGGATGGGAAATCTCCCCCACTCTCTGGGCTGGTGTGAGGTTGATAGGTTTGCAGAGGCTGCAGCTCCAAGTGGGTTGGAGAAGAACAAGGTGTCTCTGAGCACTGGTTGCCAAGAGAACCACAGACGGCTGTGAGCATTGCAGAACTCCCGTGATGAGTAAGTTCTCAGATACACCTGAACAAGAAAGAAGAAAGAGAGAAGAAATAAAAGTGAGACATCACCATTGCACAGCATCCATACATTAAAATCCATTTTCTCTCTTTTAGTCAGCACAACCCAACTCTCTGGCTTGGGCTCAAACCCAAACCCTATTTCAAAACAAAACAGTATTGACAAAACAGAAAAGATATGCCTAAAACGTAATGGAAATTCCTGAAGTCCCAATGCATTTCAAGCTCATGGGAGTAATTTTGTGACCAAATTGTGTTAGCATTTCTTGCAAAGAATTACTTTTCTAAGGAAAAGCTTTGAATTCAAAACACACTGGGACTTTGGGGAGTTTCTGATAAAAACTGGTTTCTATTACTGTATTTAAAAGCCTGACCTGTTTCTAATGTTCTGATGGATCTTTGAAAGCTGTCCTCTCGTGCTTTCTAACAGTTCTTTGTACAATAGTTTGAGTTTTTCATCTACAAAGGAGAACTCTATGGCTTTTCTTACCAATTTATTACTGGACTACAAGAACTATTATAAAATAACAGTAGTTCTGAACTACTGAGCCAGGAATTTTCTTATTCAAATCTTCTACAGTATTAACTCACTAGACAAATATACGCAATTTTTTAACTTCCCTCTTACATAAAAAAACAAACACACTGGTAGAACAAGATGAGCCTTTTTTTACATGAAGTCCACCTACATTGTAACAGATCCTGTTGTAGTTTATTCATGTCCTGGGAACTGTAGTTTGCAGTGCTGTTTACAATTACTGCTGAAAACTACAGATATTAGTCAAGAAGAAAACCAGTTTTTAAATATGCAGTATAAATATGTCATTAGAGGAAAATGTGGAAGGAACCCCAAATCCAAAGATCAATATCCTATAATGCTGAAAGTGTTCCTGTGATTGCACACACTGTAAAGAAGTTGTCTTAGCCTCTCTACTGAGAAACATACCTGTATGCCAACATCTTTCCAAATTTGCACATTCACACATGTGTTAAGGTAAGTGGTTTTGTGTGTCTGCATGTACAAAGCAGCCCTTAAAAGCCAGCAACTGCAATCTAGTAATTTCCTCTAATATAACTCTGGGAGTTGTATTGATATGAACACCTGCAATATCCTTAGTCCCTTAAGAGAACAGTGATTCCCAAGAGTCACTTGTTTCATGCCATGACAGTTCCAATCAAGCCACATATATACATCCACGGTAGGTATATTTGTATTTCAAGAAAAAGAAACAAGCACTGTGGTAGAGGTTGTTGCGGTGAGAGTATGGGGTGGGGAAAAGATTTAAACATAGTTTACTCTCTTTTTCTTCTTCAAAAGCCTCTCTTAGAGACAGACCCTCTAATCGTCAGCTTCTGAGAACAGATAACAGTAATTATACCATCTGATCTGCAGCCCGTTTAGCTGCATAACTCTCACCTCAGCGGAAGAGGAAGGAGAAGACTTGCTGAGTATTTATAATACAAAGTCCTCAGCCTGTATTTCTCCTGATAGAGGAAGGAAGGGAGGTAGGTAGGGAAGTAGGTAGGGAGGTTGGCTGGTTTGAGGCCTGCCAAGCTTATCTCCAAAGGGAGAAGAAAGTGCTTTCAGAGTCTAATGCATCTAGAGACCATCACAACTTCCAGTATACAGACAATGAAACAACTACTGCCATGTCAAGCCATCCTTTTATTTATAATGATCTTTCTCCATGGATATAACATATTTAGCTGTATTTTAAAAAAAAAAACATGCAAGTTCCGGGTCTTTTCAAACAGTTCTTCACCTCCATTCTCTTGCTGGCATCTGCGTAAGGTTAATAGTTCATTTCAAGTTTACTGTTCCTAGAGTTTCTAAAATTTTAAGGTTTTTCCTAACATTGCATTGTCATACTAGAAAGATTCACCTGCTGAATTGCCGGCTGTCTTACCTCAGGCGGGAGCAATGCCCCCCGCCCCAAGTGGCAATCCAAACTGTGAAATGGTTGGATTGATTAATCCAACATCCCATTAACAACAATTAAGCAGGGATTCTTATGTAGCTAAAATAGCACAACACACATCAGGAAATTGGAGGATGAATACGTACGTGTATGTGTTCATTGTAGGTTTGGAAAGTTAGAGCAGAAGGAAAAGGAAACTAGAAACAGCAAAGGAAATGGAGTATCCTGAAAGAAGTTATGAATGACTGTATGACATTATTGAGAGGAGCTCTCAAAACTGCACCATTTTGGTTCAGGTCTCACTGGTTCCACAGATCCTACAAAACTAATTCCTATTTGCTACCAGGTGTACACTCAACAAGGAAGCTCAACCAATTTAAGATCTTAGATAAGATTTTCCCAAACATTTGCCATTTATATTTCCATAACCAATTAGCAATGAAAATGTTCTGTAACAATGGAAATGTTCTGTTGACCCTTTTAACAATGAAGAGGCATCTTTTATTTTATTTTATTTATTTTAGCATGCAAGGATAAGGTACCTGGTATATTTTTAAAACTAACAGAGCAGTTTTATTTTATTTTTTTAACACTACCTTTTATGGTAAAATGTTTTTCCAAAGTGGTTTACATAAAAGAATCCTATACTGAAAGGTCTGTCTGGTCTCCACACTGCTAAACATTTAGCATGAAGCAAATATATTCCTTTTTCCTAAACAATTTAGACTTTATGGTTAATACACAGCTTTTTATCGTTTTAAGTTTAGTCCTGAAAATTTCAAATTCTCTACTAAGTTGTTCTGGCAGTTTGAATACATTTTTTTGTTTTTCTCCCCTGTGCTGTCTATTGTCCATTATGTGTCTACTATCTTTTTATTTTTAAACATTTTCAGTTTGGTGCTGAAAAAGTAACAACATGGGAACCAGACAGGCCTTTCACTTGGTGTGGTCAATTGGAAGAGGAGCTGTGATAACTTAGGTCAAGGTCCTAGCAATCTATATACAAACATTTGTTCTATCAACCATTGAAGACCTTCAAAGGTCACTAGCAATAGGAGAAGCTTCTTTATGTCCATACTGTTTTGGCACACTAAATCACCATCCTTATATGTTATTCTAATTAGAAGCAGCTCTGATCAGCCTTTACCTATCTGAGCTTCTTCAGAGGAGTTGAACTACTCATCCCATCACTCCCCACAGGAGTTTCAAATTAATACAACTGAAGAATACCACATTGGGATAAGGTGATGTGATAAAGAGGTACAATTAGAAATTTTGCAGATACATGCAGATATACAAAGCATATTGTGCTTGGTTCTGATTCACAGAAGGACCATTTTACTTGAAGTGAATCAGTGGTAGTCATGAGATAATATCCAGTTTAAATTAGAACTAGGAAATCATGTAACATGAGCAATCCACATCTGAAGTTCCATACAATTTGGATGTGATTTCACTCGACCACCACCAGCTCATGCAGATACTCTATGGAGTGCAGGGGAATCTGTATTGAATGAGCAAAAGCAGAGAGGAAAGAATGAAGTGGGGTAGTCATACCATGAAGCCAGATGTACTGGCTGTTGAGACAACAAATTTAGAAGACTACAGGAGAGGGAAAGTGGAAAAGACATGGCCCACTGGATACAATCTCCCAGGAGATTGTTTTATGCTAGAATCTCACTGAAGGCAATTAGTAAGCAATATTAATCCAAGTTCGGTAATTTTAAATGTGGAGAACACAGAGGGAGGGAGGGAAGAAGGGAAGAAGGGAGGAAGGAAATGTAAAACCAACGCTGATTTGAATTGGTGAATTATCCTTTCCCTTTCAAATATGTTTCAAATGTAATCTAGAAGAGGACTAAAAAAACCTGATGCAATTTCACAACGAAAAAAAGAAGAAGCAGTGACTGTTCCGCAGAGAAAGTTCACTCCCATTAGGTCCAGCCAATTACTCTTCATAGTCCAGGAGAGAGAGAAGATCAGAGTTGGTGGAACATCCCAAAGAATGCCTATCCCTTTCTCCAGAATTCCATGCTGTGAGTCACTGTGTGTCTGTGTGAGAGGATTATGCTTCCTATATTTGCATGCACCTGTGAAATCTCTATTTCTACCTATACCAAATCAACTTTTCTCAACTTGGGGCCCTCCAGATGTATTAGTTTACAACTCTTATGGGGAGTGATGGGATTAGTGCTTAACTCCTCTGAACAGCCTCAGGTTGGGAAGGTCTGATCAAACTGCTGAGATTCAAACTTCTTCCACTCCTCCCTCATTTAGAGCAAGTGAAGTTGTTACTGTAACTGGCTAATCCTCATCCCAAATAACTGCTTGTGCAAACAACCTGCTTGTGCAAGCAGTGGACAACCACATCCTTTTTGATGCCCAGGAGTATAGTAGCTCCACCGTTCTTTCTTCTTGTCTCAGTCAATGGAAGGAGACAACAAACAACAACAGAAGGGAAAGTAAAATGTCAAAGTGCCCTATGACATCTCAGTAATTGACTCCAAAGTCCCAACAATACATGGCTATTGGAAAAACTAATTTGGTTTGCCTTTATTGTAAATCTTCATAATTTTGCATTTTAAAATCAAAACACATAGAAATATTCAAAATTTGCATTCCTTCAAATTCTATTAATCACTTACGTATCTGATATGTACGTTAGTAAGAAAAAAGTTATTAACAAAAATATGTATATTCAGCGAAACAGCATACAAATATAAGTGTATAAGGAGAAATGGGCACATATTAATTTTTGTAGGAACTTTAAAAAGTTCACAAGAAGAAACAATTTAAAAATAGATAGAAGAAATTATCAATCCATTCCTCTGTGTCAGCCTCAAATTTTAAACAGAACCAGAATATTCTACTTATGAGATAATTACCTACTGTTTAGTTGGAAACAGTATCAATTTTCTTGCCAGGTATCCTTGGCTAATATATAAAGGGTATATAATATTACTTTACACTTGAAGGTTCTACTCTAAAAGTACAATTACAACAGGAGAAACTGGGATTACCAATATGTTTCTGATAGATCTTCATTAGACTGAAGTTTTTTTTTTTATCCCAATCCCTAATCCTG